TGGGGGGGTGTATGGATGGATGGGTGGATGGGTGGGTGTATGGATGGATGGATGGATGGTGGTGGATGGATTGTGGATGGATGGTGGGTGGATGGATGGTGGTATGGTGGATGGATGGTGGGTGGAGGGATGGATGGATGGATGGTGGATAGATGGTGGGTGGATGGATGGGTGGGTGGATGGATGGATGGATGGGGGATGGATGGTGGGGGGATGGATGGTGGATGGATGGATGGATGGGGGATGGATGGTGGGGGGATGGATGGTGGATGGATGGATGGATGGGGGATGGATGGTGGGGGGATGGATGGTGGATGGATGGATGGATGGGGGATGGATGGTGGGGGGATGGATGGTGGATGGATGGATGGATGGTGGTGGATGGATTGTGGATGGATGGTGGGTGGATGGATGATGGGTGGATGGATCGATGGATGGGTGGTGGGTGGATGGATGGATGGTGGATAGATGGTGGGTGGATGGATGGGTGGGTGGATGGATGGATGGATGGTGGATGGATGGATGGATGGTGGATGGATGGATGGATGGTGGATGGATGGATGGATGGTGGATGGATGGATGGATGGTGGATGGATGGATGGATGGTGGATGGATGGATGGATGGTGGATGGATGGATGGATGGTGGATGGATGGATGGATGGTGGATGGATGGATGGATGGTGGATGGATGGATGGATGGTGGATGGATGGATGGATGGTGGATGGATGGATGGATGGTGGATGGATGGATGGATGGTGGATGGATGGATGGATGGTGGATGGATGGATGGATGGTGGATGGATGGATGGATGGTGGATGGATGGATGGATGGTGGATGGATGGATGGATGGTGGATGGATGGATGGATGGTGGATGGATGGATGGATGGTGGATGGATGGATGGATGGTGGATGGATGGATGGATGGTGGATGGATGGATGGATGGTGGATGGATGGATGGTGGGGGGGTGGAGGGATGGATGGATGGATGGTGGGTGGATGGTGGTGGATGGGTGGACAGACGGATGGGTAGGTGAATGGATGGGAGGATGGTGGGTGGATGGATGGGTGGGTGGGATGAGTAGGTAGGTGGATAGATGGGTGGGGGGGGGAGAAAGTGGGTGGGCTGAAGA